AAGGTCATTCAGGATCTTCGAAGGTGTGTCTATGAGGTATTAATAAAACTTAATGAAAAATATTTTGGTGGTCAAATAATTTTGAAAAATATTGCATGCTGTATTTCTCTCTTGGAGAACTGTAATTCACATTACATTAGATGTAGTAAGGGCTCTGAGAAGTCTTATAGTAAAGAAATCAGTTTAACCTTATTTCAACATTTCTTAGATGTTGATACAGACTGTCATTTTTTAGTCTCCCAAACCGGAATTGAACACACATACCTCATTCCATTGTTGTCATAAAGATTGTATTGCAAAAAACCGAGTTTAAATGCATAGTCACTTCGTGCAATAGTACATGCACTGTATGTACACTATTAGATAAGACAAGGGTCTCAAGGTCTGGGCGGTTCTTACTAAATGCTATTCTTGCTAATGTTAAAATGTAACACAGTATTTTGCTGATGTAACCAGATGAGTTTGACCCTTATCCAACCAGAAAGGTCTAGCCAACTGCAAAGAAGAAATCAACATATAATTAACCAAAAAGTGTATAAGCAACAGCTAAGCCTCCCTTCAGGGAGGCAGAGCTTTGGATGTGAACCCCCTGTCTCCTTTACTTGCTTCAAGTAAATAAAACTACCTAATGACCACGTTACAACCACAAGTAGTTCTTGAATTCGGTAATCCCTTGAGTTGGAGATGGCCACTGAAGTTAATACTTATTAGCTATTATTAGTCAGATTTTTAAAGAAATTGAATTGCCAACGAGACCTCAAAAACTTACAGGTTTTCATTCCCAGTCAATTCCAGAGATCCTGTCTAGACATAGTCTTTGAGACTGGGAAATCCATTCTGGTCATCACAAACCTCTAGCCTTGCTCATCATCTGGCACTTGGTTGCCTTGAGGCTATTCAAAACAGTCATCTAAGGTACAGAAAGACCATCTATAATCTGTTTTTGCCCCCAGGTTTTTACTCATTGTGGGCAGAAAATATTTAAAGCTTTGCAATGTCATAGGCTGGTCTTTTTGCTCAAATGCCCGCTGTCTCCTGTTTCTGGTGGTGCTTTCCAGTGGGATAGAGAATTCAGCTTTTCCAGCCCTGAAAGGCTCCAAATTATAGGACTTCCAGTAAACTTGGATTGCAAGCCACTCCTAGCAAAACCATATTATACCTGCTTTAAAACAGGGCACCTCTGCCCCAAACTTGTCTCTCTTATGGGACCATTCTGAAGACTGTACGAAGTCACTAACCTATGCCAACATCCTTATTTGTTCCTACCATTTTCTGTTCTTGATATTCTGCAGTCTTAAGAGGCACATAGTCTGTATTCCAGACACCAGTAACTGTTTCAGGATCACCAGCTTCCCAGGAGGTCACCTTTCTCTACCCCATCTCTTCCGCACAACTCTATATTTAATGTCCTTCACAGGATTCATACTTGTATAAAACTCTTTTTCTTAATCCTTTGCTTGGATGCTTTAGCTGCCTTTATACCCTTCAGCCTTTCTGCTCCAGCTTCAAACAAATCATCTATAGGAAATCTACATCCCTCATCCCTCTTTAAATTTTACTAGGAGATTATCAAAGTTTTCATTATGTAACTAAGTAATCTGTGTAACTGCTCATGTCTATGTCCTATCACTTGGAAAAAGATTCCAGCCCTGTGCATGCAAGGACACAGAAGGCATTATTTACAAAAGGAATAGAATACATTTGACTTGGTCAAAATTAAAACCTGCTAATCAAAAAACACTATTAAGAAAGTGAAAAGACAACCATGACTGGAAGAAAATATCTGTAATACAAATATTTGGCAAAGGATTCATATCTTGGATATGTACAAAATTTCTATAAATCAATAAAATAACAATTTTTAATGGGCAAAATACTTGAAGAAAAACTTAGAAAAGAAGACATCCAAACAGCTAGTGAGCACATTAAAAAGATGTTCAACTTCATTAACCATCAATAACTGCAAATGAAAACCACAAGGAGAGTTCTTTATACACCCACTAGAATGGCTAAATTTAAAAGACAAACAATACCACATATTAACTGAGACGTGAAGCAACTGAAACTTTCATACACTGCCAGTGGGAGTGTAAAATTGTACAGACACTTTGGCAAGCTGTTTAGCAGCAACTAATGAACTTAAATGTATGCTTACCCTGTGACCAAGCAATTCCATTACTATGTATATTGCCGAGACCAAAAATGGTCACAGTAGCTTTATTTATATTGGCCCCGAAGTGGAAACAACCCAAATGTCCATCAGCTGGAGAATGGACCAAGAAATTGTGGTATATTCATACAATGGACTACTACTCAGCAATAAAAAACATGCTACGGATATATACAGTGACATGGATGAATCTCAAAAATATTTATGTTACTGCAAAATGTTATCATTTCTCTGGCTTCTTTTGCTAAAGATAATATTTTTGAGATTCATCCATGTCACTTTACATATCCATAATATGTTTTTTTCCTTGCTGAGTAGTATCCCATTGTCTGAGTATACCACAATCTGTCATTTTGTCATCTATCTACATATAGATATCTAGTTATACCTATATCTATATATTTATATCTACTTTAAAATAGGCAAAACTATTTTTTTGGTGCTAGAAACCAGAGTAGTGATTTTCGGGGAGCAGGGTAGATAATGACTGAAAAAGGGCACCAGGGAACTTTCTGCAGGAATGTTATGAAAATGCTCTATACTTTGATCTAGGTAATGGTCACACGGTTGTAAAATTGTGATTTCAGTTCATATTTGTGCATTTTACTTTATGTAAACAATATCTCGATAAAATACCATTTTAAAAGGATGAGATATATGTTACGTGTACGGTTCTGAAACAATCTTCAAGACACGGTGTTAAGTAAATATACTTTTGTATAAGAATAAACTGTCTCTAGAAGGAGAGTATCAGAAGTTGCCTGTAAGAACAGAAAATTATAGTCAGGAATTTTATTTATCTATGTATTTCTTTTTATACCTTTTTAATTTTGTATTATGGTCATGTATTATCCATTTAAATACTTTTAACATTTTTAAGGAAAGAAAAAGAAAGATGGTTTTAAAGTAACATGTTATTATGTTAAGTGCAAAAGCAAAACATAAAAATATTATATATACAGTGAGAGTGACTATGTAAAAATGCATTTTTATAAAGGGAATGAAACCCATCAAATATTAAAAATGCTTGTTGGGATTTTGGTTATTTTTAAATCTTTCTTCTTTACTGCATTTTCTACATTTCTATCATAAATGATTTACCTTTATAATATGAAAAAATAAAATTATTTTAAAAAAAGAAAATGAAAACATTCAGGAAAAAGTTAAAATGTGGATGCTGCTTTGTTCAAAATAAGTAAGTGGCCAAATATCCCCCATCAGAGCCTGGGGAATGTGAGGTCCAGAGCAAGGAGCTGGGCTTAGAGGTTGGGTGGGGCAAGCTGGGAGACCCAGGGCATCACCTGTCACCCTGCACAAGGGGGCGCTGATGGCTTGTGTGGCACAGCTGGAGCTCCCAAGGCTAAATAGAGGATCTGTGGTGGATATCACCTAACCTGGGTGGTGAGAACACAGAGCAAGGCAGATTCTAGCCCAGCTAACTGTGAGGGGCCTCGGAATAGCTGAAAGAAGCCGACTAGCTCTTCCACAAGAGGCCCACATACTGCCACTGGGGCTACCGCCATGTCTGTAGTGATCCCTGAGAAGTGCCAGCACATTTTGTGAGTACTCGACACGAATATCAATGGTAGGTGGAAAATAGTTTTTGCCATCACTTCCATTAAAGGTGTGGGGCAAAGATATGCTCATGTGGGGTTAAGAAAAGTAGACATTAGGCTATGGCCATGCCACCTTGAACATGCCTGATCTTGTCTGATCTCAGAAGCTAAGCAGGGTCAGGCCTGGTTAGTACTTGGATAGGAGACCACCTAGGAATATCAGCTGCTGTAGGCATCAAAAAAAGAAAAAGAAGAGAAAAAAGAAAAAGTAGACATTGACCTCATCAAGAGAGCAGATGAGCTTACCGAGGACGAGGTGGAACGTATAATCACCATTATGCAGAATCCACGCCAGTACTAGATCTCAGACTGGTTCTTGAACAGACAGAAGGTTGTGAAGGACGGAAAATACAGCCAGGTCCTGTCCAAAGGTCTGGGCAGCAAGCTCTGTGAAGACCTGGAGTGACTGAAGAAAATTCGAGCCCGTAGAGGGCTTTGTCCTTTCTGGGGACTTCGTGTTCAAGGCCAACACACCAAGACCACCA